GCTAGGCATGAACTATTAGCATCTGTATAATACCTGTGTGTTCTAATCAATGTGGCTTACTATATGGCCCCCAAGGATAAAGATCTCTGGCATCTTGGTTTTGTTGTTGTTGTTTGGTGTTTTGGGTATGGTAGTAATAATAAGTACTATACACTATACTATAAACTCCATCTCTGATTCTGTACAAGCACTAAGAAGCATACTTTTACAACTAGGTAGAAAGGGAACCCACCTACGAATCCACTGTTAAACAACAGTGGATGATTGAGCCTTGGAACGAGGACCTGCAGGGGACTCCTCCCTGAGCCAGTGAGCAGAATGGTTCGTTCTTCTATTCTGCATTTTCCGTGAGGTGGAGTAACCTGTACTTCTTCCCATTGGAGGGTTCTCACATGTTCAGGCTGGTCACAGGAAAATCTCTATCCCAACTGAATGCCAAACAAACAACAACTGAATGAGAGCCATGATTGCAGTGTGGAAGGGCCAAGGAAACGATACATGAATCTGGGCCGACACCTGAGAAATGCGAGCCTCTTCCCTGGCTTACAAGCATCCAGTAATATGATCAACATCACCCTGGAAGGGCCTTATTTCAAACCAGAGTGAACTGCACCCATGGGGTTTTGAGTAATAGGCTGCCCAGTTCCCAATATGCCCTGTCCGAGCTTGAAGGCCAAGTTTGACCCTTTGGACTCCTCCCCAAGGAGAGGAAAAGCAAAGGGACTATAGGCTACTTGGGTCACCAGGCAGGAACCCATCTGTACCCTCTTCTTTATCGGACATTAATCATTGGCCACTGTCATATGATGTTTTTGTTTTCTGTGCTGGTCCTGAAGGCTTGAATGCAGGGTCTGGGAGCTGTCCCATGGCTCTTGTGCTCAAGGCTAGAACCCATTTGAGCCACAGCTACACTTTCAGCCTTTTTGGTAATTAATTGAAGAGTCTTATGGACTTCCTGCCTGGGTTGGCTTTGAACCAAGATCCTCAGGTCTCAGCCTACTGCGTCACTAGGATTATAGGCATAAGCCACTGATGCCTGGTTACCATGGGATGTTTTATAACTTCACTATTTTATAATTACTTAGGCCTTAGTGGCATAACTTACATAACATTTTATAGATGCCATACCAATATTTTCTAAATGCTGAAAATTGTTGGACTAAAGCCTCATATTAAATGAGAAATGTAAACATGATAAAATGCTCTAGCAAGGTGTGGTGGAACATGCTTGTAATCTCAGCACTTGGGAGACCAAGGCAGGAGAATCACAGTTGGTGGTGAGTCTGGGCTACATACTCTAAGCAAAGCATTTTAAGATTGTGTGACATCTGTCCTGTCTTCTTCGATTAGGAATGGTGAGGTCTAGCACAGCACTTTGATGACCAAAAGCTAACACCTTCTAGGAGCTCTTCCTTAAAGTGTGCTGCTACATGGGATGGGTGAGCAGCAAGACTGCTGTTTTGTGCTGATGTCTACACTGAGAAAGCATGTTTCAGGCTGAAACAACTGGACAGAATACCAGGACTCTTCTCTCACAACAGGTTATATTAACATTTTCTGTGTGGTCGGTGGATATTAGCCTTACTTCCTTTAAGCTAAAACATGTTTTTTTTTTTTTTGTCGGTCATGGGGCCTGAACTCTGGGCCTGGGCGCTGTCCCTCAGCTCTTCAGCTCAAAGCGAGCACTTTACCACTTGAGCCACAGCACCACTTCTGGTTTTCTAGTGGTTTATTGGAGATGAGTCTCAGAGACTTTCCTGCCCAGGCTGGTTTTGAGCTGTGATCCTTCTGAGTAGCTAGGATTACAGACAGGCGTGAACTACCAGCGCCTGGCAGTTTTTTAAAAATCGGGCCTGGGCACTGTCCCTGAGCATTTCAGCTTAAGGCTAGCACTCTATCACTTGAGCCACAGTGCCACTTCCTGTTTTTTCTGCTTATGTGGTGCTGAGGAATTGAACCCAGGGCTTCATGCGTGCAAGGCAAGCGCTCTTACCATGGAGCCACCTTCCCAGCACCTGTTTTGTTTTGAATCTTGGTGCTCTAAAAAGCTCTTGGGTCACTACACTGCCAGTAAGGCAGGCCAGGATTCAGGTAGCAAGAGATCTCTAGTTATAACTACTGGTTCAAGTGAACTAAAGCTTGCAGTAGAGAGAAACAATATCAGTCTCTATTACTTGGGCATTTATTCAAGCATTACAACAATATGTACATTTCCCTCTGCACAGTTAATACTTCATAGAAGGCTTTCAACATCATCTACTCATTCCAATTTTTACTAGGGTTTCTTTTTTTTTTGGGGGGGGGTCCAGTCATAGGGCCTGAACCCTGGGCCTGGGAACTGTCCCTCAGCTCTTCAGCTCAAGGCAAGCGCTCTACCACTTGAGCCACAGCGCCACTTCCAGCTTTTTTCTTTTTGCTTATGTGGTGCTGAGGAATCGAGCCCAGGGCCTCACACATGCAAGGCAAGCGTTCTACCACTGAGCCACCTTCCCAGCCCCTACTCATTCCAATTTTTATCAGGACCCTGGAAGCTGACTCAGGAGGCTGAGAGGTAGAAGGATCATGAGTCCTAGGTCAGCCTGAACTACATAGTGAGACCCTGTCTCAAAAAGACAAAGACAAAAGCTTATTGTAACAAATGAAAATGTAGTGCATATACATATTTTTTCTGTGTATGTCTATGACTATACCTTCTCTATGGCCTTCGTTGGCAGGTTATTTGAAACAACAGTGCCTTATTCATAGGTAACTAAGGATTATTAAATAATTTCCTAAACTAAGACATCAATCTCACTAAGAAAGGTTTCCTTCTGATCTGAGTTTTTATTACATGAGCTTTTATAATATCCCAGCTTCCAAGTATTAAACTATTTGTATACAAAAACTTGCTCAGAGTGCATAACATTTTTTGGGTTTTCTAACACTTGAGATCAGCAAATAGCTTATCAGATTATCCGATTATCAGATTTGTAGGGGCTGGAAAGGTGGCTCAATGGTAGAGAGCTTGCCTTGCATGCATGAAGCCCTGGGTTCGATTCCTCAGCACTACATAAGCAGAAAAACAGGAAGTAGTGCTGTGGCTCAAGTGGTAGAGTGCTAGCCTTGAGCTGAAGAGCTGAGGGACGGCATCTAGGCCCAGAGTTCAGGCCCCATGACCAAAAAAATAAAAAAGAGAGAGATTTGTAAATTCATGATAATTGCCACACACATACATTTGGCTAGATATGGTACTGGGATTTGAACTCAGGGCCTCATGTTTGCCAGTTTGCACATGACATTCTACCATCTGAGCCATACCTCCAGCCCTGTTCCTAGCTGGTTAACTTTTCTGAATGGGTTAGCTTCTAACTTTGATCCTCTGGATCTCAGCCTTTTGAGTAGCTGGGATTATGGGCATTAACTCTGTATTGTTAGTATTGAATTTATCAAAGAATACGATATGTTACACTATGGATAAGTACCTGTTTTATGGCCATCATAGTGCCTTTAACTCTGTACAACTTCATGTTCAGTCTTCATGTCCTTGATTTTTCAAGGAAAATCTCACATGAGGTTGGAAAACTGAAAACTCTGGCGGAAGCACTAGGATTATTGTGGAGTAAACATTCGGGGGCATAACTGTAGCTGCTTATCAGACCGTGCCTGCCTTGCTAGAAGCCCTACTCTTAGTGACTCTCTAGCTTGAAATCCTGGTATTTCAAAGTATAGGAGAAGGAATGGTGTGCAGCTAGTGGAGAATCTGGCTGCAGCTCCAGTTCATGCAGTTCACTCGGCTCCCATGATGGCATGACAAACCTATTTGTCAAGTCACAGCTGAGTTGTTTCTTCTGGCTGTTCCGGGACACATACAGGACTCACCAAGGCATCACCGTAACGGCCAGATCATTTCCAGTTCACACCAGCAGCCCCCCAAGGGCATCATTAGAAACAACTTCCAATTAGTAAAGTCATGATTCACTGGCTGTTTCCTCTTCAGAAAGGAAATTGCAAGGGCTGTTTGGAGGCTGAGCACACACCTGGGCTTTCTTACAAGGAGAGCGCAGTGTCACTGTTATCAGAGCCCAGGTGCACCTACTAGATCTAAAAATTACATGAATTATGATTATGTAATGTAATAGCATGACATTTGGTAGCTTAATACAGATTTCCACTTTTGCCATCTGGGTGAAAGCTGTGGTTAGCATCATGGGAGCCAATGGAAAGTGTTGATATCACCCTTTGGGCTTGTTTTCCTCATGCTATTGATTACCCTTCTACCAGGTCCAGTGAAACCCATCTAAAACATCCTTCAGCACCTACTCCAGCGGCTCAGAGATACCTGAATGAGTGGCAAGTCAATCAGCCTGAGGCCTGGTTCTCACACTGTAATCTTTGCAGCTTTAAATTGAGGAGAAGACAATTATTTCTATATTCCTAAGGAAGTCAGAAGGAAGTCAATCTTTGTGTGTGTGTATGTGGTGGTGGGGTATGTATATACTGGAGTTTGAACTCAAAGCCTGAGTCCCTTAGTTTTTCAGATTGGTGCTCCATCACTTGAGCCACAGCTTCCAGCTTTTTGGTGGTTAAACGGAATTAAATGTCTCATGGACTTTCCTGTCTGGGCTGGCTTTGAAGTGCAATCTTCAGATCTCAGCCTTCTGAGCAGGTAAGATTACAAGCATGAGCTACTGGTTCCTGGCCCTATCAATATTAAAGAAACTGAACTTACAATAAAATAACAGTGATGAGGAGGAGGAGGAAGAGGAGGATGATATAATGACCACAATGATGATGATGTGATACCTTAAAATGGGAAACCTAGAATGGAAGTACTTCAGAAAAATACAGCTTCCTTAATCACTAATTATGGTTAAATAATCACAGCAGAGTAGTGTAACTTAGTGCATTTAGAAGTCTGGCCTACTTTCTAAGATGCTACCAGGGAGAGGACGTGGAAAGCACACACAGAGTTGAGGATTTCAGCCTTTTATGACTATGGAACATAAAAAGACAAAGGCTAATCAGGTTTTGGCATTCACAAATTTACTTGCTTAGCAGAACTTGGAATAGGCAATAGTTACACATCAGACTCTTGTTCACTTTGGGTGTTCTCAGAACTTCCCATTTGTACATCAATGGCTACCTTGCCACGCATCTGAATCACCTGGAAGCTTTCAAAAACAACCAAATGCCCAGATCAACTAAATTCAGCATTTTTTGTTTCCTTGGTGACTCTCCAGTGCAACCAGACTGCAGACCACAGCTGCGTCCACTGCAGAGACCAGCTCTTGAAAGCCACACGAATGGAACTCCAACCACGATCATCTGGCTTTTTTCTAAATTCCATGAGAAAAAGGGATTTTTTTTTTCTTAGAAAAAGGCACAGTATGCTTCGTCTAAAGATGCAGCCTGCTGTTCGGGAGGTGCTGACTGTCGGAGGTTATCTGGAGCGTTGGTTGTAAAGAAGGAAGTCCTTATCTTGGCAAAGCAGGCAGAGTTTCAGGCTTCGACAGCTGCCTCCAGCAACAAAAAATGCCCAGATGCCCATGAGTGCCAAGATAATATACGCCAACACCAGATTTATCCCATAGTGAGGACTTAGGAAAGTCTGCAAAGAAAAAGTGAATCAGCACAGCTTATTCAACTTGTAGGACAGCAAAAGAGGAACATGCTTTCCACAGCAGGCTGTTGCAGCACACACAGGATGCCTGTCATGTGTTAAGGACCCCCAAAGGCCATGTGCAAGTAGCCTAGTGACAGACTCTTCTGTGGTTGTGCCCTTTGCTAGACTCACAGGTTAACCCTGGAATTTAGCCACTAAATAGAACCAAACTGGTTCAGGAAACGGGTTCTGGAAACTGCTTTATTCAAGAGGCATCTGAGATCATGGCAGGCACCAAGAATTTCCTGGAATCAGTTTTAGAATAATGCTATATACTCAAGCCCATTCAATTTTATTTTATATTGTGGAGTGCTACGTTCTTTTGTGCATTTCCTTACTTTTTTAAAGACACTAATCTCTTTTAAACAATTTCAAAAGTAATACATGATTGCCATAGAAAATTGGAACACAAAAAAATGAGAATAACCTTAAAAACAAATTCAGCTATATTGAGCTTTATTTAATACTGCAAAAAGGGAAATAACAAATACATTAAAGTGAAAATCTGGGCCTGGGTAGAGTGTAGTGGAAGAGCACTTGCCTAGCATACCCAAAGCCCTAAGTTCAATCTCTAGCACTGCAAAACAAACCAGCACCATAATACTTTGTTCACCCAAAGTCAACATTAAAAGAATGTAAAGACAAACCATGCCACAGAATTTACCTGTCAAAGAGTTTCACCTGACAAGTTTTTTATTAATAGAAAATATGAAGAACTCTTAAAAAAGATAAACAACTCAATAAGCAGGCAAAATATTTGAAAAAGAGCTTCACTACATAATCGTCCAATTGGCCTATAAATATATGAAGATATGTTTAGCCCTGTTATTCATCACAGGAATTAAAATCAAAGTCTAATATGCTACCAGAGCATTTCCAGCCAAGTGCTGGCTCCTGTGTTAATGGTGTGAATCCTGTCCACAGCCACCATGAAAAAACTGACACATGGATAAATTCACTCACACGTATGTAGACAAAAGAAATGCATACACATGATCATCAACAAACTGTTCACATCTGTGATCCTCATGGTAACTGAGAACTGCAACAGCCGCAGAATAGGATTATGAAATGCACACAGAAGGCAGTGCAGCAAAAAAATGAACAAGACATCTATTGCTGGATGGAGCTAAATCTCACAAACATGATGTTGAATAAAAGAACAAATACCATACCATCCCATTTACATCAATACCCACAGGCAGGCAGAGCCTCCATGAAAACCAGGGTCCTGGGTGCTCATGGTGGGGACAGGGACTGAAGGCACAGGACATTCCTGGGGACTGTGATGTTTTGGTTTTTATCTAGGCAATAGTTACACAGGTGTGTTCACTGAAAACTCACAAAGATGTACACTTTTGATTTGTGTGCTTTTTGCATGGGTATCATTTTAATAAAACTATTAGCCACTCTATGAAGTCTGCTACTGAGAAGAGAATTATTGTTAACATTTTGGAAAATAACCTTTCACACTTCCTTGGATCTTTTTTAAATTGTTAGTGTCAACCCATTCAATAGTCAATCAATATCCATTGGTCAGCACTGTGCCAAAGTCTAAGGATACCATGAGTGACAAAATCTGATCCTTTCATGGTCACCCTTCTAAATGAAGAGAAAGAGATGGGAAAACTATTAAATAAAACAAGGCCAGCCAAGGGTGAGAACTAGAAGAGAGCAATGAATAAAACCCAATGACTGTGCTCAGTTTGGAATATACAACTTTTCCAAGCAGGCTTTTCAAAGAATGAACAATATTTCAAAATGACTTAGGTCAGAAGGGAAACAAATCACTGCCTAAATGTATGCATGCTGAGGGGCCACACCAGATCAGCTGTGGAGGGCAGCCAGCGTTGGCTTTGTAGAAGCAAGACTGATAAGTAGTTAATGTCAAAGAGTTGCAGACTTTCTTCCAAAAGCTTCTGTGGAGGTGATAGCTCACCTGGGGCACTTGGCTTCTTGAATCTGGTTCTCAGGTTTCCCCAGATTTCCTCCTATCTCACTGGGACTCCCTGTCAGTCTTCTCTGCTGGCTCCTTCTCTTCTCTTCCCTAACCTCAGTCATGAAGTATCTTGGGGCTCAGTCCTTGAGCATCTTCTTTATATACTTAGTCCTTGTAATTGTCTTTTCTAAACCAGATCGTCTCCCAACCTGATGATCAGCCAGCTGCTTACCTGACATCTCCACTTGGCACATGTAAGGTAACTGGACTCCCAAACAGAACTCCTGACCTCTCTTTTCAAGTTCACCATCTCAGCTGACAGAAACTCCATCCTTTAAGATATAACTATGTAGCTATCAACCCCATTTGAACTTCCTAATACCATGCTTTGAATCTAAATTTGTATAGAAAAAGTTCTATCTATACAGATAGTCAGGGTAAAAGTAAAAATCCAAATTAAATTCTAATTCTCATGTTAGGATAGAAAGCATTCCACTTTGTAGTAAAATGGGAACTACTAAGTGCTTCCTAACAGAAGCATATGCCACGCTGTCAGGAAAACCATGAAGAAGACTCCAATGAGACCTACCAAAAATTAGTATTGGTTGTCTTCTTTTACAGTGATACTCAGGTGATTCATTCATTCATTTGCCTGGCTTTTCTATCTGTCCCTAATTTTCTGAGCTCCAGAGTGTGGGAACACAGAGACAGCACTCACCTGGGCAGAGACCAATAGATGGGTCAGGAGGACTATTAGAAGGATGTACCACTTCTTTTTCTCACATCCATCAAAAAACACAATGCCCCAGAACACATGCAGCAATATGATGACCAGCGTCATGAAAGCTGAAAGGACAACAATGATTAATGCCCATATCCTACAACAGACATCAAAGCCCTCTGCATGCCCAGTCACTAGGCGTGGACTCTTTGTGTTCCCTGCCGGCCGTCTCCCCCCTCTCTCTGCCCCCCCCCACTGCAATGGTAGAGTCTGACCCTTCCCACAGCAACAGAGGCTTTGATACATGTTCCATGGATAACTTGGAAAGTAGCACTTCTGAGAGAGGGTCAGCCTCTGGGGCAACTTTTCCTCTCAGATGGGAATCTGCTCAATAAAAAGTCTACTGGATCTAGCTTTCAAGCATTTCCCATGGAATGCAATAAGATTATTGTGAAATCTAACAGCTTTTCCCAACTAGCATTCCATCCTACTTAAGAGATTTTTCTCAATGAAAAGGAGGATTTTTCTGTTGAAACAAGTCTCCTCATTAAAGTGGAATTTCTCTTCAGAATTTTTTTTGGGGGTGGGAAAAGATTATCAGAGATTCTTCTTAAGCAATAAGACTAGCACTGACAAGTCTCTGTGGAATACTGCTTCTGTGTGATGTGTGCTGTACGAGCACATCCTGGCAGGGTGCTGGGGAACATTCAAATTCTTCAGGAAAATTCCATATATTCTACAAGTTTTGACATGAAAAAGAAGGAACAGAGATTTCCCTTTCTTGTCACATAATAAAGAAATCATAAGCACTCGTCACATAGAAAAATTCATATCTGGGAACTCTTTCACAAAGCTTGAGGGGAAACAACCATTACTAATAAAAGTGAAAATTTTGCATCTTAATTTTACTCAAGCAATTCCAAGCTAGACTGATGCCCTCGACAGGTCTCAACCAGTAAGTCTCCAGCATTTGGAAACTGGTTAGAAATGCAAATTGTTAGGATGTACCCCACACCGACCGAGAAACAACAGGGTGGTTCTGATGCTTGGTCAGGCTTTAGCAGTCCTGCTCTGGAGACATTCGTATAATTGTGTCCAAGGTGATATATACAAATGTATCACATGTACGCATATGTATGCATACATGCTAGTATATGTATACTGCTAGTACTGGGGTTTGAATTCAGAGCCTTGGACTTGCTTCACAGGCACTCTATGACTTAAGCCACTCTCCCTGCCACTTTCTGCTTTAGTTATTTTTCAGATAGGGTCTTGTGTTTTTGCCCAGCACTAGCCTTCGACCTCAATCCTCCTATCTATGGTATGTATGCACCATTGTGCCTGACAGGCTGGGCTGCCTCAGACTACTATCCATGTGTCTGTTCTCCATTTCCCAAGTAGCTGGGATTATATACTTGAGTTACAATGTACAGCCAAGAATATTTATTTCAGCAGTTTGTACAAAAAATGTCCATCATAACCAGAATGCATAAACCACAGCGTATCTACACAATGATTGCCATATATGATTTCTAACATAAATGCTGATTTCCAATATAAATACTACACATAACTCACCAAATAAATGCCAGAATATAACACTGAATGAAAACACATTGTAAAAAAATAACCTACTGTTTTATCTACATGAAGCAATATATGCATATATAAGATAATATTAAAAGGACATATCTATTGTGATTAGAGAAAGCAAGCTGTTATATCCTTGTGTATTAGTGTCATAATTTTAGTAAGCAACAGTAAATACTTTAACTAAAGTAGAAGCAGAAGAATAGTTATGAAAACTTCCAGGCAAAGACCGATCATCCCAGTGATTATTTTCGTGGCCACTGAAGGTGTCAAGGCATTAAGTAGGGGATTTAAAGTTTCTATACATCAAGGAAGGCAGAAACTGGCACAAGACAACACTATCTTTTTTTTTTAAATCATGAAGTATTCATACTCAAAGGATATTCTAAAACCTAAACATCAATCAAGCGTCAAGAGAAAGCAACATGCTAACCTGCTTGGCATCTTATTAACTCTATGCATCACCATGAATACTGAGACTATCCAAGTAGGCTGCTAAAACCATGTCTTGGAGTTTAGCTACCTGGGAAATCCCCTCATTGTCAGCAGGGCTGTGTTGAGAACTCTGCTCTACACAGACATGCCAGATCTCAGTGGCTGAAAGTGCCCTGGGAACATGGGGCCCAAGGCAGTGCTCACAGGTCTTAATGGAAGATGTATGCTCAGTAGCAGGAAGTGTTCTACTACTGTTCAAAAATGCTTCACTGATTTTCTAATGAAAGTGTGCCCTAGTACAGTATTAGTACCATAAGATTTTTTTTTTTCCAGTCACGGGCTTGAACTCAGGGACTGGGAGCTGACCCTGAGCTCTTTTGCTCAAGGCTAGTGTTCTACCATTTTAAGCCACAGTACCACACTTCTGGTTTTCTGGTAGTTAATTGGAGATAAGTCTCTCAGGCTTTCCTGCCTAGGCTGCCTTTGAGCTGAGATCCTCAGATTTCAGCTAACTGAGTAGCTAGAATTACAGGCATGAGCCACCATGCCCAGCCGGATTTTCTTTAAATATATTTGCTCCAAATTGGCACTCAAACCTACTAACTCCTGAGGCCTGAAGACTGAAATGAAAGCTGGAGAAGAGATCAGCAGTTGGACTGGGTGTGAGTTATGAGAAAAACAATCAGGGATTGTTCCAGGCAAGTCAGCAGTACTCTGAACTGCCTCTACTGAATGGAAGGAGAGAGGCCCAACTAGAGATGGAAATGCAGCTTACCACCTGAATCAGACTTCAGCCTCAAAAAACATTTCCATCTCTAAGTCTTCGGTGACAACTTTAAAATCATAGAGAAGCAATAAAACCTAATAGACCTACCCCTTCAGGGAAACCTTAAGGTTGACTAATTCATCAAAAGAATTGCCAAGATTTCTAAACACTTACGTTATGCATATAAGAAAAGTCTGGTTCTGGGGAATTTGGCAAAACCTTGTTCCTGGAATAGTGTTGAAAATCTGAGTATACCAATAAAATGTGAGCAATCTCCCTAGAAGTTGAGCAATGCAGTGGGCTGATGTCGACACTCTGACCCTCCTTAGCAGAGCCATGAAGAGGCAGAAGAATGAAGTGGTGCAGAGGCTGCACCATCAGGGAAGGGGGTAGAGCAGATCATTGTGTGCCAAGATTCTCTGCGTATCTGACAGCCACAGGTCACACTGACACTGGTGAGGAAAGCGTGAGACAGACTATGTTTTTGCCCTTTCAAATCATTCATGCAGGACTTGAAGGGCAAAAATCATATTCCCATGGGCTGAATGAAGTTACCACCCTGGATGATTTTTTAAAAGTATGACTTTGGTTCATTGCTAATCATCTTTTCAGAGTAGCCCCCTGCTTACTGTGGCTATTAAAAAAAATCCATGTGAAATTCAGTGAAGAAAAACACTAAACACTAAATGTACTGTTGCAATGGATGAAGAATACAGTAAGAACCATTCACACACATGGAAGAAACAGAACAACAAAGACAAAGGAATGAAGGCTGCCTTAGCTGAGAGGTAGATAGCTGGGATGAGCCCCTCATTTCTGTGAGAAGGGAGACACGAGTGACTCCAACAGTGCCCTGCAACACACACACACACACACACACACACACACACACACACGTATGTATACAGGGTATGCTTAAATAAAATTAATTTTTTTCTTTTCTTTTCTTTTTCTTTTTGACAGCCCTGATGCTTAACTCAAGGCCTGGGCACTGTCCCTGAGCCTTTCTGTGCTCAAGGCTAGCACTCTACCACTTGAACCACAGCACTGCTTCCAGTTTTTTCTGTTTATGTAGTACTGAGGAATTGAACCCAGGGCTTCATGCATGCTGGGCAAGCACTCTACCACTAAACCACATTCCCAGCCCTATAATTAATTTCTTAAATGTATAATTCAAAGTTGATACTACAGGGGCTGGGAAGTTGGCTCAGTGGTAGAGCGCTTGCCTTGCATGCCTGAGGCCCTGGGTTCAATTCCTCAGCACCACATAAGCAAAAACAAAAAAGCCGGAAGTGGCGCTGTGGCTCAAGTGGTAGAGCACTAGCCTTGAGCTGAAGGGCTGAGGGACAGTGCTCAGGCCCAGAGTTCAGACCCCAAAAACCGAACAAAAAAAAAAAAAAAGTTGATACTACAAAGAATGATTTTGTAACAAGAAACTTACATAAACTTACAATATTTATTTCATTCTACAGATGCCTATTCACAGCCTGCCATCCTCACCTTACTATAGACATTAAGATATCAATGATGGGTGCTGGTGGCTCATATTTGTATCCTTAAATAGAAAGGCTGAGATCTGAGGATCAAGGTTCAAAGCCAGCCGGAAGACAAACTGAAGACACTCTTATCTATAACTAGCAAAAAGCCAGAAGTAGAACTGTGGCTCAAGTGGGAGAGCACCAGCCTTGAGGGAAAAAGCTAAGGGATAGACAGCACCCAGGCCCTGAGTTCAAGCTCCAGTATTCCCCCTCCCACACAAAAGATATCTATCTAAGGATATTCAAATGGTTTTTTTCTTGCGATTGTTTCTAACATATATATAAGATGCTTTTTTGTTGCTTTGTATGTCCCTCCCCCACGCTATAACCCGTTTTTACTGTATTTGATATTGGTATAATTTGTGGAGGGGAAGGGAAAAAACAAATCGTTTTAATAGGGATACAGGTGGACCCATTGCAACAATGAGATGTACAAGTCGTTATATCGAAAAATGAACTTTACAACTTTGAGGGCGGGATGGGGGAGCGGCGAGATGGGAGGGCAGGGATGGTAAGGCGAAACAAAGGAAGAGGCAACAATGCTTGATAAGAAATGTACTCATTACCTTGCTCATATAATTGTAACCCCTCTGTACGGATTTTCACAATTAAAAAAAACTTAATAATTAAAAAAAGATTATCTATTAAATACAGTATTTTTACTTAAATTAATGGAAATCACATATGTATAATATGTATTTCCCACAGTGCTAGCAAATCTTTATCCTAAAAGAATCATTTTAAACTAGCTTTCTGAAAACAGCCTACTTCACTGAAGAGAATTAGCACCACTTAGTGGAAGAAACTGGTAGAACAGTTGCAGCAATGTAACCACTGAAAGAAAATACAGAAAATGTAGGAAGTAAACACCCCATTCATTTATGACTCCAAAAGAATTTAACTATTAATATTACATTTCTTTTAAAAATCTTACACTCAGTATAATCATTTAAAAGTTTGCCACTAAGTTAATCTGGGCTTGTATCCCTAGATTATCTGAAATGTTAAAGTGTATCTGCAAATTGCTTTTATTTAAAAAGAAAATGTTTGGTTTATCAGGTTCCAATCATCAAACTGAAGGAAACTGACTTGAATTTAAAAATAAAATCTAGACTTATGTGTTACACTAAAACTTTATGGTTTTAAGGTCTGACTTAATTGCTGGAATAACTCTTACTTGTACAGTTCTTTCTAAGAAGGCAGGCAGTAGTTACCAAAGCCAAGTGCTAAGAATATACTATAGCTCCAGTTCAGAAATTAAACTTATTCCTTTAAAAAAAAAAATCAGTCGTGGGGCTTGAACTCTGGGCCTAGGCACTGTCCTCAGCTCTTCAGCTCAAGGCTAGCACTCTACCCTTGAGCCACAGCATCACATCCTGTTTTCTGGTGGTTTGTTGGAGATAAGAGTCTCATGGACTTTTCTGCTGGGGCTGGCTTTGAACCATGATCCTTAGATCTCAGCCTCCTGAGTAGCTAGGATTACAGGCGTGAGCCACCAGAGTCTAGCTTAAACTTATTCTCTTGATTAGAATGTAAGGGTTTTTTTAGCTGTTAACATGATTTTAATTAAAAAAAAATCAGTCTGCTGTTTAAAAAAACTTAAGTCTCAATGTCAAACCCTTCAGTAGGATTAAGTAAACATTATTATAAAGATAAAAGATCTTTCTAGAACCTTTCTAGGAAAGGAATGTGCATGAAATAACTATGACCTGTTCACTGTTCCCTGACCTCTAACTTGTAACGAGTTAAAGGTCCACCACTTGGCCCTATAGATCTTGAAACTCAAAAACTCTTCAGCCTGCAGGTAGCTGCCTGCAGGATGGATTCCGGGATAAAGCTGGGGTCAGTGTCATCAGTCTGGATAGGAGCTGCAAGACCTCAACTGACCACAGTCTGGGGGACAGAGGGCCCACTGAGAATAGGGACAGTGTGCTGGGTTTAGGGATTGCTACAATATGAGGAATGTCTCTGAACTACATTGACAATGGTTTTTAAATTGTTCCCACCTTTTTATACCTTTTTATTACTTTCTTAAGCTTTTCCTTTCCTTCCACTAGAGGCAAGTTCCTTTCAGAGCTTTAGCCTACATGTGAATAATGACTTAATTAAAAGTTGGGTTGTGGGGTCAACTTATTTCAGTGTTATAACAGCTGTGTAGTACAACTACAATGTATTTTCACCCTCTATTATTTACAGTCTACTTGAGGACTTTAAAGGAATCCTTTGTAAATTACATATATAGTACTAACTCAAATCTGTTGTCACTGCATTGTGATGACAATTTTTAGCTGGTGATATGAGATGAGTTTGTGGACCTGTTAGCTGAACCTTTAGACAAAAAGAGCAATTCAGCCAGGCACAATAGTTCACACCTAATACTAAATAGGGAGATAGTGGTCTGAGGCCAGACTGGGCCAAAAATCCAACAAACAACAACAACAACAACAAAACAACCAAAATATCCCAAACAAAAAACCTAAAATTCATAGAACTCCACCTCACATTCAATGGTTGAGTGTGATGGAGGGGCCTATCATCCCAGCAAGATGGCAAGCATAAATAGGAGGATAATAGTCCAGGCTAGCCCAGCATAAAGCAAAAATAAGTAGTACAGTGCCTGCCTAGCCACTGTGAGGCCCCAAGTTTAAACCCCAGGACCATCAAAACAAAACAACACTAACACAAAACAAAAAAACCAACCCAAAGAACAACTATTATTATTTCCTCTCAATTTTGACATTAAATCTATTGCCTAGCTCCAAAAACCACTGATATTAATTAATAAGAAATATCAATTAAAGATAAGTATAAAATCAGAAAAGAGCACATAACCTACTAAAACTAACTTCTAATATTTTAAGTGTACAGTAACATTATTAGGATAGCCAAATAGTAATAAATTTTATGGAAGCTAAATATTACTAAAAAATCCTAAACACTCTAACCACAATTCTTAATTTCTTAGGTCCTTCAGTTTGTAGTGCCTGAGAGTATTTTATCTTTGAAAGGTATATAGTAAGTCTCAATCCACCTGCAGTCCTAAGCCAGAGAATTCCAACAGACCTTTGGGACAGAAGCCTGAGGTATGCATACTGTTGGACACATACCTGAGTTAAGGAAGAACTGAGGTGAATCTCCGTGGATGCCCACTGTGCCTGGCCCCAAGGAGTCAGACAGAGTGTTCACAAAGGAAAATACTCCACTCATGATTCCAAAGCCCAAGCCAGAAACTAAAGAGGAAAGAAAAAAAATCAGTTAAGACCCTGCTATGGCTTCTCTTCAAATAAAGTGTCCCTCCTTCTGCTCTTTTTTAAATTTGTCTTTAAATTAAATGTCCAAGGACTAGGGAATACTATCTCGTTGAAGGGAAAAATAACATACTGGTCAGTTTATTTTGGTGGTCCTGGGGTTTGAACTCGGGGCCTTGTGTTTTGCTAGGCAGGCACTCTACCACTTAAGCTATACCCCAATACATATGCTGTTGCTGATATATTGGACAGCTCACTCCAGAAAGGCTCATGTTTGGTTAAGTGATGAATGAAAGAGAGAAAGGGAAAGAAAAAAGGTTCATGTAGCAGAGAAATGAAATAGAGAAGATAAAGATCTAGAAAGGCACAGTCAGAAGCAATACAGGAGGCAGAGGATTATGGAACCTCTGATTCTGGTTTCTGAAAAGAGTCTACAAAGTTAAGTTCGATGGTTTAGAACCAGAACAGAGATGGAGGGTAATACTGTAAGGTGTGATCCCTGGACCACATTGAGGTGACTCAACTTAGGGACCTAGATCTGATCACAGGAGTATTAACTGCATTCATATGCAGAGTCTTTCTCGTTACAAAGTTTCGGTAAATATCCACAGAAAAGTGAATCACATTCACTTTGAAATTGTTATTATTTAACATTTGGGACTCATACCTGTAATCCTAGCTACTCAGGAGGCTGATGCTGAGATCTGAGGGTCAGGGTTCAAAGCCTGCCCAGGGAGAAAAGTCCCCGGATAAGACTCTTATCTCCAATTAACCACTCAAAAACTGGAAGTGGTGCTGTGGCTCAAGTGGTAGAGCACTAGCTATGAGCACAAAGAGGCTCAGGAACAGTATCCAGGCCTTGAGTTCAAGCCCACAACTGACCAAAAAAAAAAAAAGGTTAGAATTTAATGGGAAAACATGTAAGGGTTACTAGCAATCACTTTCATTTACATAAGGAACAGGAAATCTGTGGAAATAATGTATACCAATAGGCTGAGGTGGGATGAAATGTTGCTTGAAACCTACAAAGATAGTTGGAGATATCACAGGGCAACAATTTTGTACAACTGATGTATGTTCATAAAAGAGAAATAGAAATCCACAAAGATAAAAATGGTTTCTGATTTTTTTTTTTGCCAGTAGTGGGGTCTGAACTCTGGGCCTGGGCGCTGTCCCTCAGCTCTTCAGCTTAAGGCTAGCGCTCTACCAATTGAGCCACAGCGCCACTTCTGACTTTTTCTGCTTATGTGCTGAGGAATCGAACCCAGGGCCTCATGCATGCAAGGCCAAGCACTCTACCACTGAGTTACCTTCCCAGTTCCTACTTACCATAGGCCAGCAATCGCATAGAGGGTGCTGTCTCTTCTGGGTTTATGATCTTCAAACCCTCATTGGCTTTTCTAAAACAAAACCACAAGCACACACACATGTATTATGTATTTTTAAGAAAAAGCAGTAGAAACTATATACTTATTGGAGGCTTGTGATTAGGTTATCACTAACTCTAGAATCCACTTAAACAAAACCCAGCCCATTTTCAATGAACTGAAATCAATAAGATATTTCCAATTAAATGTCTGCCTTTTATCTGGTGTTCATAAAGAAGGAAAAATAATACATATATGTATATATATGCAAACAAGTCACTAGGATTTAGTTGAATAGGTAAAATAGCAATATTCAGACTTGTTTCTGAGATCCATTTCAGATCCCAATATCCTGGGAGAAATATAGCTCTTCTGAATTTTCTTTCTCTTCCCAGAATACATCTTCATTTAAGTTGGTACTTCCTTGTATTTTCTACTAGGGTTATATTTATGCTCCCTTCTCCACAGAACCAAAGTTGTTCTTCGTATGATTTTTTGTGGGAGTGCTGGGGATTGACCCCAGAGTCTTGCATATGCTAAGCACATGCTGTACCCTGGACTGACACCCTAATCCTCAGGCAATTTCTTCAAACAGCCTCTACCAATGGTTGTAAAACACTAATCTTTCCTTACTCTTAAATGTTTTAATACTGACCTAAACTCTCACATGATAACCATAGGTCTTTGGATTTTTAAACATTATCTATATTTGTTTCATATCCCCAACTAGACCTTGAGAGATGGCATTTTTGTAGAACAGAATGTTACCAGCAGATTAGGAGCTAAATGAATACTTGGGTGACAATGATCTTCAGAATGATGCTATCTATGCTTCTGTTATGAAGCATAGATTCACAAACTGACCATGATCCCTCTCCCGCTGCAGATGTATCAGGATGTTGTGCCCAACAAGTCCTCTACTGTCACTGTTTTGTTGCTATGGCTCTGTGTGTGTGTGTGTGTGTGTGACTACTGGGGCTTCAATTCAGGGCCTGGGTATTTCATTTATCTTTTTCCACTTAAGGATGGCACACTAACACTTCAGTAACACCTCCACTTCCATCTTATTGGTGGTTAATTGGAGATAAGAGTCTCACAGACTTCTCTGCCCAGGCTACCTTTAAACAATGACCCTCAGATCCAACCTCCTAGGTAACTAGGATTACAAATGTGAGCCATCAGTGACCAGTACTTGTTACTAATCCCTCTTTTGTTTTATTTGCTGGTTATGGGGCTTGAACTCAGGGTCTCGGCACTGTCCCTGAGCTTTTCTATTCAAGGCTAGTGCTCTCCCACTTTGAGCCACAGCTCCACTTCCCTTTTTCTGGTGGTTAATTGGAGATAAGAGTCTCATAGACGTTTCTGCCTGGGCTGACTGTGAACTAAGATCCTCATATCTCAGCCTCCTGAGTAGCCAGGATTACAGGTGTGAGCCACCAACAAACACCTGGCACTAATCCTTCTGGGGGGGGGGAGATGGGAAAGGATGGGAAGGGTAAACAAAGGAGGAGGCAACAATGCTTGGTAAGACTCATTACCTTACTCATGTAATTGTAACCCCTCTGTTCGGTATTTTCACACACACACAAAAAATCCTTTTTGACTAGAAACTTTAACAGTGTAAGATCTATACACAAAGAGTAGTTAAAAGGCTGGGAAGGTGGCTCAGTGGTAGAGTGCTTGCCTTGCATGTATGAGGCCCTGGGTTCAATTCCTTAGCACCACATGAGCAACAAAAGCCATAAGTGGTGCTGTGGCTCAAGTGGTAGAGTGCTAGCCTTGAGCTGAAGAGCTGAGGGACAGTACCTAGGCCCAGAGTTCAGGCCCCACAACCACCAACAACAAAAAGAGTATTTAAATTATATTTACTATTAAGTTCATTTATTAAAATAATAAAGGAACAAAAAACAGAACAATTTGCCACCAAGTGCTGAAACCAAAAGGAATTAGATTAACTCTAAAAACAATTCAATTATCCAGAACATCCTAATTTTCTGGGTATTGTGTTAATTTAAATTTCAAGGCATGAATATTCATTATAGCTGTCTATTCAGTACATAAATGTACATCATTGATTGCATTAAGGCAGTGAAGAATTCAACCAAAACAGTAATATACATAATGATAAGGGTCCTTTGCTTGTCTAGCCTCAAAAGAAACAATTTGCTATTTCAGTAATCTCTGTTTAGAAACATTGGCTAGGAGAAAAAAATATCAGCTTGAATTTTTTTTCCTTTTTTCTTTTTGTGCTGGTGTGGGAAAGGAGCTTGAACTCAAGTTGTTTTTTTTTTTTTGGTGGGTCGTGGGTCTTGAACTCTGGGCTTGGGTGCTGCCCCCTCAGCTCTTCAGTTCAAGGCTAACACTCTACCACATGAACCACAGCACCACTTCCAGTTTTCTGAGTGGTTTATTGGAGATAAGAGTCTCACAGACTTTCCTGCCCAGGCTGGCTTTGAACTGTGATCCTCAGATCTCAGCCTCTTGAGTGGCTAGGATTACAGGTATGAGCTACCAGTGCCTGGCTTTGAACTCAAGTTTTTACACCCAGCTTTCTTGTTTATGGCTGATGCCCTATCACTTGATCCATGCCTCCAGACTAGGTAGGTAGGATTACAGTTGGGGGTTACCAACACCTAGCATAAGCCAACTTTGTCTTCTTTCCTGGAAGCAACAGCCAACTAAATTGTTCAGTTTTCCTAAATAAATTTGTCACATGATGGTAATCACATCAGCAAATGTCTCAACATAGCAAGAAGACTCAAGGGGGGAAGGATCTCTCTTTCATGTAAATTGCTCTACCTGATACAGCAAAGTACTGCCACCACTAATCTACTGAACTCATTGGATTCTAACAAGCAGAAAATTTCTCTATTTTCCCTTATAGACGTTTATGGGAGGAAATGTTCCCACTTTGACAGTCCCCAGTGTCAAGTTAGGAAGTGAGAAAGTTTCTGTATTCCCTGCTAGCAGAACATATGACCCTCCCTGCAAGGGGCAGTGTTTTCAGTATGAAGTGGAAAATTCTTTGTTTGCAGTTATTATTTTTTTTTTGGTCTGGTCGTGGGGCCTGAACTCTGGGCCTGGGTGCTGTCCCTCAGCTCTTCAGCTCAAGGCTAGCACTCTATTGAGCCACAGCACCACTTCCGGCTTTTTTCTTTTTGCTTATGTGGTGCTGAGGAATCGAACCCAGGGCCTCAGGCATGCAAGGCAATCACTCTATCACTGAGCCACCTTCCCAGCCCTGTTTATTGCTCTTTGAGACAAGATCTTGCTAGGTAGCAGTGCAGGCTAACCTGGAATTTGCCACCCCCCTCCCTCTACTCCTAAGTGCTGGGATTACAGGTAAGTACCACCATACCCAGCTTTGAAGTGGAAAATTCTTTGTTTGCAGTTATTATTGTATTTGCAAGAAAAAAAATTTTGACCATTTTTTAAATATAGAACTTTGGATTTGGCTGGGATGACGCAGCCAATGAAAAGGCACGATGTTGATGAGGTCCTAAGATGGCTGCCGGGCAGCTGTTTACTGGCCGAAAGGATGTGGAGTGGGCTACTGCCTCCTGGCCTGAATGAAAATGATAGCGTCAAATCCTGAAGATGAAGCCATACCTGAGAACTCCAAATTTAACTTACAAGAAGTTAAAAGAGGATGGGACCAGTAGGAAATCAGATGCCTCAGATTTCCCAGAAGATGGGCCAGCAACTGAGCCCCAGGTCCAGGCAAAAGCATATGAAGAGTGCCCTTCTGGAATTCCCAAAAATATATGGAATAAATTTCAAGAATTGCATAAAAAACATTCTGAGCAGAAAACTTCAGCCTCAAGATTCAGAGGAAGAAAAAGAAAGCGCTCCAGGAAAGGTAAGTTGAAGAATGAAAAAGACTCTCATAGTGAACAGTCCTTAAATGAAGCCCAGTGGAAGGAGCTTACTCCGTATTTTGGAGCCAATGATAGATTTGAACCTCCTGTGAAAAAGAAAAAAGTTGAAAAGTCAGGTCTTGAAATTGCCAAAGCAACTGCCTGCCACAAGTTTGTAGAAGCCAAAAAGGAAGCTGAAAATTCACAAGCTGCTAGAAAGCAGCAGCAGCTGGGGTGGGGGTTTGAAGCAAAGAAGAGATGGGAAACCAAAAGCAACATGGGACATACGTAACCTTGCAGAGCTCAGAACACTTACAGACTCACATACTCACACTAACAAGACGTTCCTGCTTAAATATGTGCATAAAACTTAGGAGTTGATTATCAACTCTTGGACTTTTTTTAAGGAGTTTATTCTTGAAGTGAGTGTTTTTGTTATTTGTGTAAGAAATTAAGCATACACACAGGAAAAAAGTATGGGATTTTTTTGTTATTTATTTATTTGCATAGACCTACAGTCTAAAATCAATCTGTTTTTCATTTGTTTGGTGTAACAAAGCCTGTGAGGTCCTTGGACTTGCTTTATCTGTTCTAGGCATGATGACACTGATTCTGAATTGTGATTTTAAGATTGTGACAGTTTTTACAAAATTTTACTTAATGTCATAGAAACAATTATTGATCCCTTATTAGTGGCAGCAGAATTGTTATTTTTATGGTCACATAGTAAAATAATGTTTGTATACCTTCAGATGAGATAATTATAAAAGGGGGATAAAATGTAGTATGTAGAGGGTGGTTTAGTTTCAACTTTGCATAGAAATGTAACTATCTCAGCTCTGTCATTCTTTAAATTATTAGATGGTATAGCTACATTAGATGTATATATTATACTAGACGTATAGTTATATTAAACAGATAATTATAATTCCAAATAACTGAAAAAAAACTTTGCAAAGTTCCTGATGAATCAGTCTTTTTCATTTGTTCTTGTTTTTTTAATGCATCAAGGAATCTGAATACATACTAAATACATCATTTTGGAAATTTAAAAAGAACAGACTAATGCCTTTTTAAAACTGGCCTTTATTAGAATTTTTATTTTTATTTTTGTTTTTTTTTTTTGGGGGGGGGTCCGGTTGTGGGGCCTGAACTCTGGGCCTGGGCGCTGTCCCTCAGCTCTTCAGCTCAAGCCTAGCACTCTACCACTTGAGTCACAGCGCTACTTCCTGCTTTTTTCTTTTTGCTTATGTGGTGCTGAGGAATTGAACCCAGGGCCTCAGGCATGCAAGGCAAGTGCTCTACCACTGAGCCACCTTCCCAGCCCCTATTAGAATTTTTAAAAATGAAGTTACAAAAGTTTCAATCGAAACAAAAAAATCTAGTAAATCTATTTTAGGCAACATCCAAGAGTGCCTAAACTCTACATTTTAATCAGTAAAAATGTGATTAAAGCTGGACACTGGTAGCTCAGGCCTGTAATCCTAGCTACTTAGGAAGCTAAGATCTGAGTATCCCAGTTCAAATACAGCCCTGGCAGGAAAGTCCCTGTGAGATCCTTATCTCTAATTAACCACCAGAAAATGGAAGTAGAGCTGTGGCTCAAAGTGGTAGAGCACTAGCCTTGAGCAGAAAAGCTCAGGAAGAGTACTCAGGCCCTAAATTCAAACTCCGTGACCGACAAAAAAAAAAAAAAAAAAGTGATTGAGTTGAGGCAATCCTTAAAAGGTAACTTTGGCAGTGGAGATAAACAAAATATTGATGAAACTAAAGACTATATTTGAATGCAGTAGAGGGCTATGAGTTCAGACCCCAAGTACTGCCTAAATAAAAGCTATTTCAGTGTATTCGTGTGCAAAATCATCAACAAAGTACAATAATTCTCCAGCTTGTCTGTTTTTGCTGATCTTGGGACTTGAACTCTGGACTTGAGTATCATCCCTGAGCTCCTTTTTGTTCAAGGTTAGCATTCTACCACTTGAGCCACAACATCACTTCTGGTTTTTCTGTGATTAAGTGGAGATGAAAGTCTCACAGGGGCTTTCCTGCCTGAGCTGGCTTTGAACCAAGATCCTCAGATCTCAGCCTCCTGAATAGCTAGTATTACAGGTGTGAGTAGTTAGGATTACAGGTGTGAGCAAGCAGCATCTAGCCTCTCCAGCATGTCTTAACTATAAAGTATTCAATATTTGTTAAAAAAAAATTGCTGGCATTTTTTTGCAGTATATTTTGTAGGCTATTATTAAAGATATATTCTGCAAATGCAAGGCCCTTATTAATACATGTTTATACTAATATCTGTTTGTCTATTTCTAAAAGTCCTTTAAAAAAGAGGGCCAAACATGCTTTCCTTGGCAGCTAAAGAGGCTTCTCTGAACTTAGCAGGAAAAATTAGCTGTAATTCCTACTTGCTTATTTTCCTCACTAAAAACATAGACCTACACTGGCACTGATGGCTCATAATCCAAGCTTCTCAGGAGGCTGAGATCTAGAGGAACAAGTTTCAAAGTTAGTCTGGGCAGAAAAGTCCAAAAGACTGTAACTTTGAAATAACCAGCAAAGAACTAGACTGGAGGTGTGGCTCAAGTGGTAGAACAGCAGCAAGCAAGTTGAGCGAGTGCAAGGCCTTGAATTCAAGCCCTGGTACTATTAAAAAAAAAATTGTATCCAGTCCCAGTGGCTCAGCCTGTAATCTTAGCTGCTAGGAAGGTAGAGATTTGAGAGACCTAAGTTCAAGGCCAAACAGGTAATGACAATCCATCTCAACCAATCAATGCTTACGGTGGCATGCCCCTGTCATCCCAGCTATAGGGAAACAAAATGGCTGGCACAGTGGCATGCACCTGTTATCCCCACTGGCACAGGGAAGTGTAAGTAGGAAGATCTCAGCAAGGCCACCCTGCTCATAAAGAGAGACTATGTAAAAAATAACCAATGCAAAAAGGATCTGGATGTATGGCTCAAGTGGTAGAGCACCTGCCTAGCAACTGGGAGGCCTTGAGTTCAATCCCAAGTACCCCAAGAAAGTAAATTCTCCAATATTTTTGAAAGGAAGTTGGCAAAGAATTTCTTTAAGTTAAAATAGTAATTTGGAGTTGGAAATATGCTAATGCCTTTGTTTAGAATTATATCGAAAAGGACAAACCCTGAAATACCACAGGCTATTAATCTTTAAAGTGATCAAATCACAATTCAAATCTAATTGATTTAAAAAAAAAGGTAAGATAAAGCACTGAACTTACTTTAAAAGTCTGTAGTATGCAAGCCGGAAAATTTCTTGGACAATGACAGAAAGTAACACTCCAAAGATGAGCAGATATTTCTGTACTGGGCCATCTTCATTATCATTTGTGAGTCTTGCTATGAACCAAAAAATGGACGAAAGAAGTAGAGAGACCAACCAGAAGAAAGCTCTTAAAAGAAAAACAAAAGTTACAAGTGAACTAACAGTAGTACTAATAATGACTCAAAAGAGCAAAACTCTGCTTGAGAAAGAATAGATTTTGCACGTGTATGCGTGTCAGTACTGGGACTTCGACTCAGGGCCTTATACTCTCCTTGGCTTTTCCATACAAGTCTGACACTCTATCACTTGAGCCACAGTTCCACTTCTTGCTTTTTGACAGTTAATTGGAGGTGAGGCTAGAGGAGTTTTCTGTCTGGGCTTCGAACTCTGATCCTCAGATTTCAGTCTCTTGGGTAGCTAGGAAGATAGGCCTGAGCCACAGTGCCAAGCTTAGATTTTTCTATAAGAGGAAAAAAAAATCCTTATAGTGGTGTTCTTGATCAGTTGTCCTTAACCAATGATACATGTGGCCCAAGGGAAATGTGAGGCCTGCCCAATAATTTCTTGCTTTCAGTGACCAGGTGATGTTCACGGGCAGACTACCTGGATCTAGCTGGAAACTTACTTTTCCTGATGCTTTGCTTGTTGTGGTGCCAAAACAATGAAGTATACAATCTGTGACTATTAAAACCTACCAGAAGTTATAAAGGTCAGATATCCACAAAGCTGTGTCTTTTCCAGAAAAAATAAATTAGTGTGTGCTATAAAATTCAGAAGTTAAAACCCTACACTTTGATCTAGATCCCAATTTTTTTTTTTTTTGGGTCCGGTCGTGGGGCCTGAACTCTGGGCCTGGGCACTGTTCCTCAGCTCTTCAGCTCAAGGCTAGCACTCTGCCACTTGAGCCATAGCACCATTTCCGGCTTTTTTCTTTTTGCTTATGTGGTGCTGAGGAATCAAACCCAGGGCCTCATGCATGCAAGGCAAGCGCTCTACCACTGAGCCGCCTTCTTAGCCCAGAGATCCCAATTCTTTTTAATTAGCATATATTATTTGTTTGTGCAACAAGTAGGTTTCATATTTTATGAATGTATACATGTGTCTTAATCAGTTTTTCACCTACTGTTATGCCCCCCCATCCTCTATCTCTCTTCTCTCCCCTCTCTCCTTTCCTCTGCCCTCCACCTTCTCTCTCCCCCCACTTTCTGCATTGGTACTGGGGTTTGAACTCAGGGTCTGAGTGCCATCCTTTAGCCTTTTCTGCTCAAACTTAGTGCTCTATGGCTTTCAGCTTTTTGGTGCTTACTTGGAGATTAAGTCTTAATAGCTGGCTACAAACTGAGATCCTCATATCTCAGGTCACCTGAGTAGTTAGGAGGTGTGAGCCACAGGAGCCTAGCTCCACTTCTTTGAACAATTTCCACAGATTTCATTTGTCTATTTTCATCCATGCAACCTCATTCATCCTCATTCACATTCTGCATTAGCCCTACCCCACAACCAAACAGCTTTCTGGGCTCAATTCTTTTAACAATCCAGGATGGATTTTAATGGTTATAGTATTATAAACCATTAGCCCAAATCTCATATTGCTTTTTCAAATGACACATGCCAGGTATAGTTCTTTTCTACAGGGGTGTGGGAGGTGAAGCAGCTCAAAAATACCGGGATCACAGCTAGCCACCCAGCCTGTTGGGGTGTAAGTAGAAGGGGCATGCTCTCATTTGCCTGAAAGCTCAGACAGTGACCACATTCACCATCAGAGTTGAGTGTTTGCAAAGCAGGATCAGATATGTCAGTGTTTTCTTAGGTTTCCACCCATCAGAGGAGCACCTGAGCCACCTGGAAGGTTTGAAGACAATCTGAGCCTGAACCTCACCCCCTCCCCATTGTAGTTCAGAGGATCTGAGGTAGGCCATGGGCAGATGCTGGCACCATCTGGTTCCCAGGTGATTCTCACTGGCAGAGAAGGAAAACTACTGCCCCAAGACTCTACATGATGGCTCTTTCGCCCGGTGGGGAAATTACAGACCTCATTGAGAACTGAGGGAAATAGGAGACTACCTCTTCCTCCACAAAAATCAAAGGGTAGCTGGGCGCGCCGGTGGCTCACACCTGTAATCCTGACTACTCGGGAAGGCAGAGAGATCTGAGGAGGGGCAGTTCAAAGCCAGCCCAGGCAGAAAAGTCCTTGATACTCATCTCCAAATATCCCCCCGCTCCCAGGAAACCGGAAGTGGAGCTGTGGCTCAAAGTGGCAGAGTGCTAGCCTTGAGCACAAAGAGCTCGGGGACAGCGCCCAGGCCCAGAGTTCAAAGCCCACCACTGACAGGAACAAAAAAGGGGGGGTGGGAGGAGGTACACCTATGGATGTACTCACACACATATCACTCTTCAGAGGCTTCGCAGCCCACGGAAGGGGCTGCAAAGCCCACAAACCTGCCAAACACCAGGGGTTCAGAGCCCCCGCCGGGGTCTCCCCGCCCCGGGCCTCCCCCTCCCCGCAGACGAGGGCTAACGAGCCTCGGCGGGACCGGGTCTCCGCTCCGCCCTCCTCGGCCTCCCGGGAGCCCCAAGGAGCTCGAACTCGCAGGTGCCCCGGGGGGGGGGCGGGGTGGGGAGGGAAGAGAGGAGGGACGGAGGGGGGGGGGGGGAGGGGAAGCGAGCCCCGGACTTCCAGGTTTTCCCCTGCGTAACCGCCTCACCCGGCGATGAGGAAGATGACGCGCAACGGGTCGGTGGCGATAGTAAAGATGTAGAGAGCGAGCGCAGGCCCGAAGGCAATGAAGGCGCAGCCAAAGAACACCGCCGCGGTCATGGCGGACCTCCGAAGCCCATCCGGGGACCCTGAGGGGGGGGACGACGCAACAAGCGCCGGGGCGCAGTCTGAGGCGAGGGCGGAGCGTGAGGGTAGGCGGGGCGAGGGCAGGTGGAGGAGGCAGGCCTCGTCGCGAGCTGGGCGCCGTCGGCTCGGGGCGGGGCGTGGGGGCGTGGCCTTGCAATGCAGTGGGCGGGGTCTTGAGGGGGCGTGCCCTAGAAGTGGAGACAGGGCGCGGCCGGAGGGAGGAGTCAGGCCTCGCTCTGGGAGGGGCCTAGGGGCGTAGCCAGGGGGTGGGGGGGAGACCGGGGAGGTTGTTCGGTCTGCGAGACGGGGCGCGGGAAGGGTAGGGGGTGGAGAGCCAGGACTCGAAGTGCTTCTGTCGGCAAGTGGGACTCAGTCGTGGCCTCTAAATGCTACCGTCGCAGAGTCGGGCAGAGAGGGGCCTAGAAGTGTGCATCTCAGAGTCGGGTGCGGCCTGGGCGGTAGTCGGGTGAGCCCCGGGGGCGTGGTCTTCGGGGCAGGGGGGCGGAGCTAGAAGCGGGCGTTCGGTCTCTCCGGGGACGGAGCTCGTGTGGTCGGGAGGTTTTCCTGGGGGCGGGGATCGGAGACGTTCACCGCAGTGCAGGGATGGGGCGGGGCTTGGGCGGGGCTCTGGGGGCGGGGCCACTAGACGCGCAAGCGCCTATCCCCGCGACCCGGCTGGGTAAAGTGGGCGTGGCGACCGAGGATGCGGATCTTCCCCCCCCCACAGGCCGTTAGGCGCCGATCTGCAGCATCTGGGACCGCCCAGGCCGCGGTGCACAGCAGGTCTTTATTCCTGGACCGGGTTCACTGGACCCTTCAGGGTGCTAACGGTTCAGGGGGAGGTCACTGGTGTGGGTGGTGCTTGGAGAAGGGGAGGTCCTGGTGCACTTTAGAGCCTGCACCCCGGAGGAGGAGAGATTCTAGGTCAAGTTGAGAAAACAACAGGACTGAGACAAGATTCCTTTTTTTAAATAAAGGAGGCTTTTATAAAGCACATTTTTTTCCATTTGCATCGTTTTGGGAACATGTAAAATCCAGAGTGGAAAAAAGCATAATGTACTTATGTCTTTGGTGTAACCATTTTTACTAGCTAGACGTGGTGGTACCATGCTTGTAATCCTAGCTACAGGTGAAATATACATAGGAAGATCATGCTGCGTCCCAGTTCTGGGCAAAACCCACAAAATTCGATTGGGAACATAAGAGCTGGAGACAGTGGCTCGTGAGGGAGAGCGCCTGCCTCACAAACTCAAACTCCAGTACTGATCCCCCGATTCCTGCTTGTTTTCTAAAACTCTAATACCATTACACCATGGCTTTGGATCTGGGCCTTTCTCTTGACATACACTCAGATGGAGAGCTAACTGGTCATATTCAGGCTTTCCTCTGACTTCTAGGAGGCTCTGAGCTAAATTTAACACTCAAGAATAGCAACTATTCTAGCTTTTTTAAAACTGCGGTTATTTCCATGACTTAGAAATAGGGCTTCTTCACTGTTCACAATAGCTAGGATATGGAAACAACCCAGATGCCCCACGACAGATGAATGGATCCAAAAATTGTGGTATCTATACACAATGGAATATTATGCAGCCATTAGAAATGACAAAATAATGGCATTTGCAGGGAA